ACGGTTTCATGGACATGAAGATTCCTTCACGGTCGCGAAAACACTGCTCTTGAAATAAGTCACATTTTCCGTTGCACTTTCATAGGCACGAAGGATTCTTGACGACCGTGAAAGTCGACTGGACTATTTTATTGGGCCTATTTTTGACTTACCTACTTATATTCCTTTTAGGTTTACATTCACCTGTTATTTTCCTCTCGATTTTGGGTTCTTTAGTTGATCCTTTTCATTTTCTTTGGGAAGAAGATTCTGCTTCAAGCTTAGGCCATTGGAATCCAATTTGCAATCAAATTTCCATTCGATTATTAGTATCTTCTTTCCTATCTCCTCAGTGTAGTTGATTATTTCTCGGTTTCTTCGAATATTATTCGTGGTTGAATGATTCTTGATCTCTATTCGTTAAATCTTTCAAGATTCTTATACCTTATTATTTACTTCATTGTTCTTTATGTTTATGCATTTCTACTCCCTATACTTTATTTTAGTTTACTTACTGCATTCAATTCATTCTTGTACCCTTTATGATTGCATATTAGGTTAGGTTGATTAATTTTCTACACTTAGGGGCAGTTTATTAGACGCTTACTTGGTAAGTGCTTACTGGATGAATTTTCTCATTGGATGAACATGACAAGGGTCTAGAATCTGACCGGGTAAAAACGATGAGAAAGATGAAGAGTCTTATCGAGTAAGTGAAGATGTTGACTCTTACCCAGGTAAGCGCTTACCAAGTAAGTTGTTTCATTCGATACGTTTTGATATACTAAAATCTTATGTATCAAAATAAATTATAGTGTTGATTTATATCAGTAAGCACTTATCGAGTAAGCATTTAGGTAAACAGCCTCTTAGTTGATTTTATGCATATGTTGACTTAATCATTTACTAGTGTTTGACATCGCGCGTTGCGCGATGACGATAAATTTTTTAAAAATTTATTGAAATTAGCTAAATGAGTCGATTATCACATTTATATATTAAACTAATAGAATCAATATTACCTTTAATATATGAATCTAACTTATCATTATCGGTTGTTCTTTTAATATATTATATTTGTATATATACTTTGATATATGAATATAACTTATCATTATTGATTGTTCTTTTAATGTTGTTATATATATA